TGAATGTCATATTTGTGCTTCTGAACAGCGCCGTGGTGTTAATTGCTGTAGGTAAGTTTTATTTGCCTACGATAAGCAATGACCGATTTTGCTAATGCTGGGATCAGAATGAACGCTGGAACTGGGCAACCTAGTACCAGATCCTTGATGGCCAAGGTGATCATTGATCTCCGTGAGAATGTGTAAATGACCGAAGACATCGCGGAGCGAAAGAAGGCTCGCAAAGATACCCTTTTTAAAACATTAGAGAAGCTCTTCGGGTCTCCTTAAAAGATCTAAACCGCGCGAAACAGGATGGCAAAGAAGCTGTAGCAACTTATTACGGACTTCTGCACATACCCACGAATTGGAAATAAAAAGTTTTCCTTACAATTCTGTACCTTTCGGGATGTCTACGGTCATTTTCACATCTCCATGCAGATCAAAGTCCCCCTCATGGAAAGAAAAAAAGGTTGGCAAACATATAGCTTGCGACGCTTTCTTGGCTCTGTTTCTCTCGCACGACAACAACAAACATTAAAGCCACGCGAGACAACATGCCCCTTGAGGGACTTGGTACAGGGTTGTCTAATCCTAACATTTATTGGGACCTTGTATTAGCAAAGTCGTGTATTGCTTAACCGCACTGAATTTATACTGTATGGCTTGGACTTACGGCCGCTAAGCAAGCTGAGGAAAAAAGAGAGCCATCACTCTCCCGGATTGTACAATTTGGGAACAGGACCTCACTTTGAGGTTTTCCAAGACCGACCTCTTTCTCCCCTTTTAAGAAGTTATTTAAAAGGTGTGTTAGCCAGATAATCTGCGTTGTATTACATCTAAGTTATCTCATTCCCTTCTTTGATTTTTACATTTGTCATGACAACCTGTGAGCTACAGTTAGTCATATGCCTATAAAAGGTTCCGGAGTCATTCAATAACTATCTCACTGTTTGGCGCATTCGGAAAAAGAAAAAATCTAAACATTATGGGATTTTGTTGAGAAAATTCTGCATGATTTCTTGTCATTTTTTTTTCTTCAACAGTTAAAGGCCTCCGTTACTTAAAGTCTAACTGGAGAAGGTTCTCCTCTTGCCCGGTGCGATGTTTCTGGAAGATGTGCGGCAGATGTCGCGATGGTCACAGGAACAGATGGAGTGATTTGTCCCTAATACAACCACTGACAGAGGAACCATTAGTTTTCGATGAATAAAAAACTTAATTGTTTTGGCTTCATTATGGTAATTTGGTGCAGCAAAGAGAGTACACAGGGGTCTCTCATTTTGTTGCTTAGCTGTACCCCCAGCCTAAGTCTGCTGCTTTGCATAGCTACTACGCTGACAAAAAAAAAAAATTATCTATTTCGCTTCAATTGCATCTGTTGTTCGTCAAATGTTTTCGAAATGTAGGTAACAAAGAAAAGTTAGGAAAGTTCAAAGAAATATTTTACAATGCAAAATAGTTCACGAACAGTGTTATGCTTTGCTTCTTTTCTCCGTGTATTTGATTATTTCTTTTTCATTTTTAATTCTATCACAGAAACGTTGAGCAGGAATTTAAGATGTCACTATATAATTACTGGACCTTCGTTTTGTATACCCCACCCATAAGGCCGGGAAGTTAAATATATTTAAACATCTGAAAGGCTAATCAATAAAATTTTTACCTATAGTACATTGGCCACATTTACTCCAACACTCAATTGACCCATCTTTTCTTGGGAAAATTGGTTTACAACACTACTACGCCCTCGAGGCAAAACTAAAAAGCCTGGTTTTCATTGAAGAAACGGATCGAGAAGATAATTTCTCCCTAGTTGGCGATGATAAAAAAAGCATTAATATAGATGCGTCAATAGTTATTTTACTCGTCCCAATTCCTCTTAAAATAAATGCTTTGTCTTGAAGAATCGTAACAATGATTGCGGCGGATATTAATATTTAGAATACCATATGATTTACCAATACGATACGAGCTTGATCAAAATGTGATCTGGTGAAATTAAGTTAAAGCAAGTAATGTTTGGTAAATTTAAAAGGAAGAAGGAAAATAAAAATTTTGCATGCGCGGAGTTTCAATGTACATATATTGCGTGAAAAATTTTTAACCTAAGAAAACATGGGGGGAAGTAAGTTGGATTCTTTACTTTAAGGATCATCAAGAGAGGATAAATTTTGGGGGAACACATCATTTTCGGAGGGAACGGAGTGGCATTAGTCGTCACCAACAGAGTATGCAGGGGGGGAGAGGGGGGGAGTTAAAAAAAAAATCTACTGCCAATGAGGGGGGATCATTTAAAAATGTTTCAGAGCCATATGGGGAGATCAGGTAAATTTTATTGAGACACAGTCAAAACTCATGATTTAACATTGAACGGATCAAAATGTCTCTACACCGAGAATTTTTAACTACCAATTTGTTCATCAACATAAAAAAATATATACTTTGGTCTTCAGGATTTAAAAACTCTGAATTCCTTACACATGGGGCATGGCGCTCTAGATCTCTTGTGGTCTTTGATGTCGGGTTTGAGTTAATAATTGTAAGTCATTCTATAGTCTATCTTTTCATTTATGAGCGTGAAAAAAAATCGGATCGGAACGGGCCAG